TGTATTTGATCAACAACACTTTTGCCCTGCAATTACTTTCTTCCTCACTCACATTTCTGAGGCAAGGCTATCTGTCTCCGAGTCTCTCTTCAAACACATCCTGTTGTCTGGCTGTCCGTCAGCGAGGAAAACAAAATTCAATATTTGCAGCACATGTCCTTCATCAGTGATTTGTAGTATTCACAGCTGTTTGAATAGGCTGTGAATTCTATTGTGTAAAAATAAAGAAATAAATAAACACAAAACACCAATTACAGCATCAACTTTGATGCCCTGCAACAAACTGCATCCGTGTCAGGAGTGGAAAACATAATGGGCTGGATATTTTAATWTAATTCAGCTTCCAATTATTTTAATGTAATATTTTTTAATTAAAAATTAAGAATGGCTAATTTTTAATTAAAGAATTGTTTGAAGGAACGAATATCACCAGCAGTGTTAGACCGAGAGGATTTATATTGATAATAGATTGTTTCGTAGTTAGACACAAATGCACAGCGAAGACCAACTTTACCAGGTCACAGGTCAACTGGACAAAAGCTGATTTTTATATGAAGAACTCAATAAAGCTCAAAAAGCACGTAGAGATATTCATGAAAAATCACATCTACGATTCCTAAAGTTTAACACAAAACAGTTTAGAGCAAATACATGGGGTTGGTATGACAGCGTAAATGTACCTCTTGAATTTATGCAATTATGACATTTCTATAACAACCTCAGTTTCTTCCCGATAAACATGAGGTTGGCCCGCTACGCACATTTGTGTTGATTTCTAACAATGAAATGGTCTATAGCAGCAGTTTTAAAACGTTTTATAGTCCGGCCCACAAAATAATCGATTCTGAAAYGATTCCTCGAATAATTCGAGTGATTCGATTACTAAAAATCCTCAAGGAAAATTATCTGCCTTGAAAAAAATTTTTATTTTTTAATTATCTGCCTCGAAGTTTCGTAAAAAAGTAGGTCCTTTTAAAATCAGTGCACTTTTGCCAGCCAGAATATTATTTGAGTTACACAACGCTACGTAGTTAGCGCTTCCGCTAGCAGTTACAGTTGACGCGTGCATGCTAAGTGCTACGTTTAGCAATGGAAAGAGAAGAGTCCCAAAACGAGGCGCTCAGAAAATGACAGAAATTGTGAAAAGTGTGGGATGATTTAAAACTAAAGAGAAAAGACGACAAAGCGCAATGTGCCGCACGTTCTCGATGTTTCTGCACCGGAACAAAAACAGCTGATGCACATACCGAACACGTCCAGAGTTAACAAGTATCGTTCATGTTTCCTTTCTGACTAATCATAGTTTCTACCTGGCAGAGTTTTATTAAACAGTGTGGAAGTCCTGTGATCAAAACAACCTTTAAGTGTGCAGCAACACATTGAAAGCATGAGCTGAAATATATTTATCGGTTCATATGCTTCTATCTTAAGAGATACCTGAGTGAATATTTAAAGTTTAAATATATTTATTGAAAATAGTAGGATTTGTTTCCTTTTTGCTGCTGGTTTTTATGACTTTGATACCTGTCATTAGCCTTCATTTATTACTGCTGTCATATACAGTATAGATAACCAGTCAGGACTAAATATTTTATTGTTAAAATGGGAACTTAATGAAAATATGAATTTTTTATTAACAATAACATTTGAACTCTACAAAACTCAATTTGCAACACTCAGATTTTTATATTACCCATTTTATTTACTAAATGTCGAACATAAAAGATCCCAATCTCTTTTCCAATCCATAAAAATGAATCACCATAATTTAGCTTTTTCAGTGATGSTTGAAAATGATTGAGTGCTTTTAAGTAAAGCCTCCTCAAACCTCAAACATAAAGACAAACAACTGGAGCTTAAAACATTTGAAATAAATACAACTGGTATTATAATTTTACTTTGATTGCAGCAGGATTATCAACTAGTGTAGATTACCCCTTCACAATTGTCATAAATTAAGCTTAAGTAATGACTGCAGATGATTTTTTTTTAATTCGATTTCTCGATTAATCAACAGAATAATTGATAAATCGTTTACTAAATTAATCGTTAGCTGCAGCCCTACTTGTGACCCCATATATTACTGGTTTCCCTATGTTTACATAAAATAACTGTGTTAAACATGGGCATAATAACAACATAACTGTATAATACTACTTGAATTTATTTACGGTTTGTTAAATGTATATTTTAGTGATTATTATGATGAAAATAGTCCATTAGCAATTTTTTGCATTTACATTAATATAATTGAAATCACTCTTGACCCTAACTTGATGTTTCACGACACAGTGAGGTGTCCCGACCCCACATTAGGGAACCATTGCTCTATAGTATGATCTGTTAGTGTTCAGAGTCTGTGTTGGGAATGAAGCTCAGCTACTACCACACCAAATAAGAGCTCAGTATCTGTACAGCTAGCAGTTATAGCTGTGTTTGACGTTTGTTTACCTGTRGTGGCCATCTTGAATTTAAGTTTCATTAAAATCTGTCCACTGTCTCATGAGATATTTTGCTAAAGCTACAATCATTGCCTCTCTGTCTTTGGTCAACAGACAATAATACCAAGCTTTTATTGGAAAAATAAAATAAAATAAACACACACGAGGGGAGCTCTCCCCCCCCACACCGCCTATGTCTTCCAGAGGATATAATTTAACCAGCAAAGTATCTGATCAAAATGTTTGAAAAGCTCTGGCATGCAGCATTTATTGACTCCTTGAATGTGTCTTTTATACATTCAGTCATGGCTGAATAAATGATTTGAGGCTGACACATATAGTTCGACCTTGTCAGAAGCCGACCCCCAACCCCCCACATTTCCTTTTGCATGCTGTGTAATTGAGCCTTCGTGGAGGATGGTCCTCACTTTGTAAGGATCTGTATTGATGATCACAACTGGTTACCAACTATCTAATCAATAGCTGCATACACACAAGCAGAGGCTAATATTTAAGGTGAGACAGTAGCTTATCTCGCTTTTACAAGCCGTTAAATAATTGTAAAGATCACAGACTTAAGCTAACAACACCTCTGGGGTTACCAGCTTCACGGTGAAAGATATATGTCATTAAATATGTTTCCTCACATAAAAGGCTATTAACTTTTCTTCAGTATATTCCTGGACAATGCTGCGTACAACAAGGAAAAGCCCTGTTTAAATTGGTCAGCGACTCTGAAGCTGATGGGCTTTCTGCATTTAAATTACAGACGTTTCCTGTGAAGGCCACGGGCAACTCAGAAATTAAAGTTGCATTAATTGAGAGAGTTTAAATTACTTCTCGCTTTTGTAATCTCCCCTCGTTGAGGCCTGCAAGTCTAAAGCTTCTCCTATAGCTCTGCCAATAAATTCTGATGTTAATGTTTGTTTGTTTCCWCGTTTGGGAGAGCCGGAGCAACCGGACAAGGAAAAGATGCATAATTGTCTTGTTTACCTTGATTTAACAGTGTGTCTGCCCAAGTTTAACCACAAGGGTGGGGAAATATTTTTGCCAGGGCCAGGTAGGCGAGGATGTCAATCTTAGGCTTTWTTTTTTWTTTTTTYSTTTTTTTTTTTTTTTTTTTTGTGCTGACACACGAGCAACCGGAGCCTCGCTGTGTCCCTGGAGCAACTGCATATTTGCAACAGTCAAAATCAATCGCTCATTTAGATTCAGCAACTTGGAAAACATGAAAAAAATACATAACCCATGGCCATGAAACATGCCAGAAAATCATTAGAATCAGAAATGAACAAGTTTATCCTTTTTTTAAAGTGACAGGAGATATAATTGGATTTTAAAAAAAATCACAGTAAGTGCTTAGAATTTAATTTTAAACATAGATTTCTGCAGCCACATCATAAATATACATTATTTCTCACTGCAGGAGTTTTAAATTTAACAGCAGATTTCAGAACCTGCAGGGGCTTCAACGTGCACGTTCTGTTTTCCACATTTCCTCATCAGATTATCAAAGCGRGCGAGCGGCTCCACAGATGTAATCTAAACGGGAACACAACTGGCCGGTGCCATGCAGCTGTGGCACCGGAGCCAATGGGAGCTCGTTGAATCAGAGTGTGGATGTAAACACAACGTCTACCCCCCCTTGCAGGCATCACTAGAGGAGCTGATGACAAGTGCCGAGCAGCCCTGTGGTGCCTCTGATACAGCAGGAATACTCTCCAGGGGGAATGCAATCTGTGTCCTTTGTACAGATTCACCGTCTGCACTTCCTCGCCTCTGAGCGGCTATCATATCACACTACCCACTCTGGAAACGGCAGAAGGAAATCATAARAATCGCCTCGGCCAGAGATGAACCAGAAATATAATGAAGAAATAGCGTGGCGTAAAMGGATGCAGAGCTCCCCTGGCTGAGTGCTAAATAATAAGCTGCAGAATGGCACAGGATGCCATTGAGCACAAAGTACCCCCCCTTTCCCTTTCCTTCAACCCACCCAGGCATCTACTGGTTTACAGCAGCTTATACGTTTAGGATGGGAGATAAAAAAAGAGGACCGCTTCGCTCATGTGGTGTTCCCACATTCCTTTATTGCCAATAAAAAGCAGCTAAACTGCAGAAACAAGAGAAGCTCCGAACATCAGAGAAACATCACTGAGCTACTTTTCCTCCACACACACAAACGCGCAGGTTCCTTTTTTTCAGAAAAATACTAAATAAAATTAAACAAATCCTTTGGAAGTGGACGGAGAGTAAAATCAGACTTTTTGTTTACATCCTGTGTTGTGTTGTAAACAACAAACACAAGGCAACACRAGCAGCAGAAGTGAAGAAACACTGCACACATTAGGAAAAACAAAAACTGCAACTCTTTGATTTCTATTTTTACCTGCCTGGGGAAAAAAAAGACAGCTGAGCGGAGGACGGATGGTGTGGTGAAGTCAGTGAAGTGTTTGAAGTAAATGTGCTGGATGTGTGTGTGTGTGTGTGTGTGTGAGACACAAAGTGTGTGTGACAGCGTTGAGCCTGAGTGAGAGGTGAAAGGGCTGCTGTACTCACAGTTGTGCTCTTGTTTCCCTGTGGTCTGCCGGTGTGTCAGAGTTTCATCCTCTCAGCGTTTCTCCCTGGGCTGGGCTTCCTCTTCCTCTTCTGACCAAAAGGTGCGAGGAGGAGGAGGAGGAGGAGGAGGAGGAGGGGATACACAGATTGAGCGCTAAGGAATGAAACTAAAGAGAAAAAGAGAGAGAGAGTGAGGAAGAGGAGGTGCAGGGAGCGGGTGGAGGGAGGGCGGGCGGCGGATTGTGATTGGCCTGTCAATCCGGGAGAGGGAGCGGCGGTGTCGGCGCTGTGAGGGCGGCGGGCATCCCAGTCCGTCTGCTGGCTTCTCCGACTCAAACACCTCCAGAGCCTGCAGAAACACAACACACTCGCTTGTTGGCTGGCTCACGCCTCACACACACACACACACACACACACACACAGAGGCAGGGGGAGGAGGGGAGGCAGACATGTTCTGAGGGCCGATGACAGCTTCAAGCTGAAGCTTCTCCTTGGCTCCTCAATAATGACAGGTACTGAAGCTCCCCCTCCCACACACACACACACACACACACACACACACACACACACACCCATCTCAATTACCATAGCCACAGCAGATGTACTGAGCACGTCACAAGCAAGGCTGAGGACGAGCTGTGGGCTAACTTATCTCGTTTAATTTAAGCGAGCTGTAATCAGAGCTCCGGTTCGGTCCGACCGGATGCAGGACGGAGGCGGCACGGCGAGGGCGCGCCAATTAGTTCCTCCCAGGTCAGAGAGCAGCGGGCTGCAGCTGTTTGCACGCACGAAAACAAAAACAAAGTAAAAAAATACCCGACCGCTGGGACGACGGAGCACTGGCTGCAGCCCGCTAACACTAATTTAACTGTGATTCATGAGGCTGTCAATACAATCCCACTAATTTTAGAGACTCCACACCCAAAACATGGCCAAAACAAGGTTTGGTCCGAACAAGAGGCACTGTCAAGGATATTAAGGCTGACATTTCTGCAGTTGACGCCCAGTTTGCAGCCGAATGTCAAGCAGCGGTATGTTTTCCCCCTCATTAAGAGCCGTGCTCGGTCAACAGCGGACCAGCTCCAATCGGCTCCACACAGTGTCCCATGAATCCCATCTCCGTCCTCTTCACTCCACCAAATTCAATTAAAAAGAGAAATTGGCAATTAGATCACTGTTATGATCCTGTAACAATGATCTAATCTGTAATTCATTGGCTGCTGTTCCCCTGAGGGGGGAGGTGCATGATGGAGTGGCTCGGAGACTTCTTGGCATCCACCTCGGCTCAAGAGGCGCACAAGGGCGCAGGCAGGGCCCCCCGATGCTAAAGGAGACCTCAGCGGCATCACCTCTGGGGGGCCTCGACTCGCCCCGCGGCAAGAACACGACCCCCGCGACACGCGCTCGTTTGTTTCACTCTCGTCGGCCTGAGAGCTCGTTTAGCAGGTTGCATGTGTAATGTAGGAGCACGCTGAGGACAYGGAGTCACAGCAAAAAAAAAGCAGAAATGAACACTTTCTCTTCTCAGGGGAAGGTTTTTTTTTGTTTTGTTTTTGCTCGTTAATTGAATTATGACCATTTCATTTGTTTATTGAAGGATGCAGGGGCAGTTTGCCCTTTCTAAAGCTTCAGGCTGACCGTCGCGTTAGCCGTGTTTCCATCAACGTTTAATGCACATTTTKAAATATCGCGTCAGAAAACGTGAAAGGAAATGGCGTGATTTGAAAAAAACTTCCTCTAATTCGCAAAAAAGTTGATACGCTCACTTGAGGTGTTTTTTATAAAGCATTACTGCGCAAATGGAGAAATGGAAAACAATTTGTCAAATAAGTTGTGACATAAACATTTACCTCACATGGTTGATCAGCTGTTCCTACTGTCTGAACGGTACCGGTACCAGAGCGACTGGGCTGCCACAAACGATTATTTTTATAGTTGATTAATCACCGATTATTTTTTTGATTAGTCGACTAATCGGATTATACGTTAATTGAATATAAAACACACAGCTTATCGCACCAAAAGGCAGCAGCTATTATATAACCATGGTTAGATTTTAGCTATATGCTAACTGACTGAGCCTGGTTCTGCTGGAGGTTTCTTCCTGATTAGCAGGGAGTTTTTCCTCTCCAGTGATTCAACACAATCTGCTGGTTTCTTCTTTAGATTGTTATTTTATGTACAGTGCCCTGAGAGAACGCATGTTGTGACTTGGCGCCATATAAATAAACATAAACTTAAAAATAATTGCTGTTAGTCATCGACTATTTTAATAATCAGTCATCGAATCGACTAATCGTGGCAGCCCAACTCTCCTCCCGCTGTCGGCGTATTCTCAGTTATTCCCGTAACATGAAGAGAATTGCATTTCTTTCTCTACGTCTCCAAACAGCAGTAACAACCTGAACTAGTTGATATGACAGAATAATTACAACTTTGATAACTTCTCTCCATTTTCCTGAGATGCAACTTCTACTTCCTGTTTACTAAACGCATGCATCAGACGTAAGTGAGTCGCTTCAAGCCAGTTGATGGTAGCACGTCTGATTCGCAATTCTTCGTATTTTCCTTTTTGCGAAATTTTTAAAAATTGGCTCAAAATTTGAATTAAAATTAAATGGAAGCATGACTACTGAGTCAGCAGGCAGAGGGGAAATCCAGACTGGAACCAGAGTCTTGTTACCAGYGGAGTTGCCTCTGGAGCAGCGCTGAAGCTTCGGCACATGTGGACTGTCTGCAGCACTTAGGATCACTTCTCTGACCTGCAGCAGCAGCCACACGTGGTGTTTGTTATTTAAAAGCCCTGTTACCTGGCAACATTTAACACATTTACACCTTTTCTATCTCATCATCCATCTCGTGGCGATTATATTTAGTCAGGGGATAAATGCAGTGTCCTTTATAGGAGACACGCACACCCACTCAGAGCCAGTGTCAACAGGAAAGCAAACTGACTATCATATATTGGAGTGTGTGGGCTTGTGACACACACACACACACACACACACACACACACACTCAGGAACAGTGTGATTGCTCTTCTTCGCTCGTTTAGCACTTCTAAGGCAGAGATCCCCAGAGGCCACCCATCACATCCAGTTACTGTGGCGCCGAGACACGACCGAGCCCCACCTGGCTGCTCTCACCTCAATCTGTAGGAGGCAGGAGGCAGTAGCACCATGTCGCTCGCTTTCTCACTTACTCACACACATCATTCACCTGAGATCAAAGATGTGGTCACACACACACGCACACAACGATATCTCACACCAAAGATCAAGAGGGCCTTTCGGCTTTCACAAACTCGCCATCACGCGCATTAACTTGTAACAAATCTCCATCTCGTCTCGGAAAATTGCTGAACCGCCTGTGGTAACTTGGAGCGTCGCTGCCACGCTGACTTTTCCTGGGAGGTGAGGGGGCGCTGGGAAAAATCATTTACCCCCCCCCCCCCCACCATACACCCCACTAACTTCAACAAATTAGCTGTAATTAACATTAAATGAGTAAAAAAGTGTCATCCACGGAGCGCCGGTGAGACTAACAGATGGTATACATGGGAAACCGCTTCATTAACAGACACTCTTAAAAGAACAGGACTAATGAGACGGCGCTGCTTTGACTGTTGAGTCATGCTGATGGCATCAGGTGCTGAGAAGGGGGTTGTAACGGCCTGCTCAGGGGCGCYACCCCCAACAGATGCAAACAACAGACCGCTTGATGGGGAGAGTCTTTTGTGCGGATGGGTAGGGAACRAGGGGGTAAAGGATATGGAGGAGGTCTGGCCGGTGATTAGTGCGCTCCCTCGCCGGTTGAGCCCGRCTTGTCACCGGTTGACATGGGATGCAATTATAGGAGGGAAGTTTCGCAGCCCCCCAGGCATGTGCCAGGCATGCTGTCAACGCCGGCTGACGTGTGGGCTCTTGGCACTGCCAAAAAATGTGTCACAGGTGCTTATGTGTGCACAAAACTGCTACACACGGCTATAAAAGGGATGAACTCACGTTTAAGCGTGCGATCGCGAGCCGCCCGGTTGGCTCTCGTTTGAGTATTAGCTAAACCCTGTTCCACTCCCAGCCTTTCCCTCCATCTCTTTATTTCCTCTGAAGCTGGAAGGTAAAGCCAAAACACTCGTGACTCTGCTGGCTCCTCTCGCTGTTCCCACGTCTTCTCCTTTTCCCGGCCCAGCCTGCACACGACTCTGCCAGCAGTGCGAGTAAGCTCTATAAGACCCGAGGCAAATTACCACAGCGGGACACTACATTTCTTTTCCACATGCTTCCTCATCGTCGTCTTTTTCTCTCCCCCCCTCTCACCGTTTCTCTGCATGTCACAAATCAAAGTGTGGACCTCGGCACTGGCTGCACATCATGGGAGTGAGTGGCTCAAAATGAATTCTCCATCGGCAGATCCACATCTGTCCGACAGTGTGAGAGGAAAAATAGTTTTTTTCACCAAAAGACATTAATGACCGTCTGAACTTTTGTCCAAGCATTGTTTTTTTGGGGTTGTTTTTTTAGGAAATTGATTTGTACCAAGACTTTCATACCRCCATCGAGTGTCTTGAAAGCCATGCTAGTGGACCATCAGGTATGATTTTCCACTTCAGACAATTTTTTTAAAGGGGGGTAAGGGGGGGATCGTCTGAAATTGGATCCTTTGGCAGCTTCCAGTTCCTCTTAACTAGCCCTGGGCGACAATACTTAGAGGCAGCATTTCTCTGCTATCATTTCCAGGAAACTCTAAAGATGCCGCTATAAGATGGAGATGCACCTCAAACATCCAGCCGCCGTTCCAAACAAATACATCGCATTACGTGTTTGATTGTTGCAAACATTGACAACGAAGAAAACTTATGTTTAGTATTTAAAGGCTTTGGAATAAATRGTCTCATATTTCACTCCTTGTGAGTTTTTTGTACTTAATGAATTTTATTTTAGGGTTAAGTTAAAAATTTGATTATCAAGAGTTTATTGAAAAAACATCTTTTCTAAAACAACCTTTTTCTCACTCAGGTAAACAAATATTTGCTTTTAAAACCAGTTAACTTGTAGCTAAAGTTTCATTTTGAAACATTATTCTATTTTTTAACAATCAGAACAATGAGAAACAGTACTGTGAATTCCCAGCACTCCTGCGATTACAGTTCAGAGTCCAATGTTTAATCAGAAACTCTTTTGTCCAGATCCAGTGAAATCAGTTTGTAGAAGAACTTTTGATGTTTCTTCTGATTGGTCAGTTTCTGGAAGCCTTCAGTGATCTGAGATCAGGTCCAGAAGAAGAAAGAATGTAACTGCCCTTTTTCCACTAGCGCCACTTAGGGTTGGGCATAATCGTATCGTGTGCAATTAAACGTCAGAAAAACAATAATCAATTAATTTTTGGCACTTGACGATTAATACGACTAATGCCACCAGGCAGAGTCCGCTCGGTGCTCCTCTACKCTTCAAATATGATGAACATTAAAAAAAATCTGTAATTTA